CTAACATGGCTCGAAAGCAGTTTGGAGCTGCCTTTGCAGCCTCAAGTATGTAGGAAGATTCTTGAGGAATCTCTATCACTCCTTCATGCCCCATATTTCCTACCCTGTCACTGCAGTCACTTAGCTGTGGCAACAGGCCTCACAGTCTGTCAGCTAGCCAACACTGGTGCTCTTAAGCCTGTAGTTTATGAAACTGAGTGTTGGGCTTTCTTAGCTAACATTTAATATGTGGTAAAACTTAGTCCCTTTTCTGGCAGGGGAAAATTGTATTTGAAGGCTTTATAATGTGCTTATTGCAGTAAATTTATTTATGCTGCCTTTTTTTCCCTTACAGCTTTTTATTTTCAGTGTTGCACACCATGTTTCATTAGGTTTAAAGAACTGTTCAACTCCAATGCTCCCATGTCCAGTCAGTGTTTTCTCTGTTCATCTGTGCATGTTTTTGTAGCTCCTTAGATCATAAGTGTTGCTCCCATTAATGGGAATTGCACTTCATTTCCTTGTAATATTTTCTTTGAGGACTAAAGCTCAGGTTCACTGTAGGCAGGCTGCTTTTGTTTTCCACTTGCTGTTTTGGAAAAAAACCCCATAGCTCTTTTGGTGTAACTGTAGTGGTCTGCCTGCACATCTGATCATGCATTCTGTCTTGCTTATCAAGCTCAGAGTTTTTACATGCCCCAAACCCATTTTTATTTAACCTTGCCTATGTAAAGCTGTAATTAATATAATCTTTCTTTATATATTTTCATTAAGAATTTCCCCTGTCCATAAATATTCAAACTATTAAAAGTTTGCTAACAAAATGATTCTGATGGAGAAAAAATGGTCTTTTTGGAAAAGCCATAGGTGACCTTTTCCACATTACACAGAATAACAGAATATTTGAGGCTGGAGGTCATCTAGTCCAGCTCCCCTGGTCACGCAGGGCCACCTAGAGCAGGCTGCCCAGGACCATGTCCAGACAGCTTTTGAATGTCTCCAAGGATGGAGACTCCAAAACTTCATTGGGCAACCTGTGCCAGTGCTAGGTCACCCTCACAATATGAAAGTGTTTCCTGATGTTCAGACGGAACCTCCTGTGTTTCAGTTTGTGCCCATTGCCTCTGGTCTTGTCAGTGAGCACCACTGAAAAAAGCCTGGCTCTGTCCTCTTTGCATCCTCCCTTCAGGTATTTACACACATGGATGAGATTCCCCTGAGCCTTCTCTTCTCCAGGTTGAAGAATCCCAGCTCTCTCAGGCTTTCCTCATATGTGAGGTGCTCCAGTCTCTTAATTAGCTTAGTGGCCTTTTGCTGGACTCTCTCCAGTATGTCCATGTCTCTTTTGTACTGAGGAGTCCAGAACTGGACACAGTACACCAGGTGTGGCCTCACCAGCACTGAGGGGAAGGATCTCCTCTCTCAACCTGCTGGCAATAGCCCTCCTAATGCATCTCAGGATACCATTAACCTTCTTTGCAGCCAAAGCACATTGCTGGCTCATGTCCAACTTGGTGTCTACCAGAACCCCCAGGTCCTTTTCTGCAAAGCTTCTTTCCATCTGGGCAGCCCCCAGCATGTACTAGTCCCTGGGGTTGTTCCTCACCAGGTGCAGGAATCATAGAATCATAGAATCATAGAGGTTGGAAAAGACCTCTAAGATCATCGAGTCCAACCGTC